TCCGTACCTGTAGCTGAACCTGTAACCCGTATGATACTCAGCCCCTGTACCTGTAGGAAGGAACCTGTGTAACCCGTATGATACCAGTCCCCTGTACCTGTAGCTGAACCTGTAACCTGTATGATACTAGCCCCGTACCTGTAGCTGAACCTGTAACCTGTATGATACTAGCCCCTGTACCTGTAGCTGAACCTGTAACTCCGTATGATACTAGTCCCTGTACCTGTAGCTGAACCTGTAACCTGTATGATACTAGTCCCTGTACCTGTAGCTGAACCTGTAACCTGTGGCGATACCAGTCCCTGTACCTGTAGCTGAACCTGTAACCTGTATGATACTAGTCCCTGTACCTGTAGCTGAACCTGTAACCTGTATGATACTAGTCCCTGTACCTGTAGCTAAACCTGTAAATCCTGTATGATATCAGCCCCTGTACCTGTAGCTGAACCTGTAACCTGTATGATAATTAGTCCCTGTACCTGTAGCTTGAACCTGTAACCTGTATGATACTAGTCACTGTACCTGTAGCTGAACCTGTAACCTGTATGATACTAGTCCCTGTACCTGTAGCTGAACCTGTAACCTGTAAGGATACTAGCTCCTGTACCTGTAGCTGAACCTGTAACCTGTGCATGATACTAGCTCCTGTACCTGTAGCTGAACCCGTAACTCCGTATGATACCAGCCCCGTACCTGTAGCTGAACCCGTAACCTGTATGATACTAGTCCTTGTACCTGTAGCTGAACCTGTAACCTGTATGATACCAGTCCTGTACCTCGTAGCTGAACCTGTAACCTGTATGATACTAGCCCCTGTACCTGTAGCTGAACCTGTAACCTGTAGCGATACTAGTCCCTTGTACCCGTAGCTGAACCTGTAACCTGTATGATACTAGTCCCCTGTACCTGTAGCTGAACCTGTAACCTGCATGATACTAGCCCCTGTACCTGTAGCTGAACCTGTAACCTGGGTGGCGATACTCAGCCCCCTGTACCTGTAGCTGAACCTGTAACCTGTGGCGATACTAGTCCCCTGAACCTGTAACCCAAGGTATGATACTAGCCCCTGTACCTGTAGCTGAACCTGTAACCCGTATGATACTGTAGTCCCTGTACCTGTAGGTAGCTGAACCTGTAACCCGTATGATACTAGCCCTTGTACCTGTAGCTGAACCTGTAACCTGTATGATACTAGCCCCTGCAGTACCTGTAGAAGCGAACCTGTAACCTGTATGATACTTCAGTCCCTGTACCTGTAGAAGGAACCTGTAACCTGTATGATACTAGCCCCTGTACCTGTAGCTGGAATCCTGTAACCTGTATGATACTAGCTCCCGTACTCAGAAGGAACTCTGTAACCTGTATGATACTCAGCCCCTGTACTGTGAAGGCCAGAACCTGTAACCCGTATGATACTTCAGCCCCTGTACCTGTAGCTGAACCTGTAACCTGTATGATAGTAGCCCCTGTACCTGTAGCTGAACCTGTAACCTGTATGATACACTAGCCCCTGTACCTGTAGCTGAACCTGTAACCTGTATGATACTAGTCCCTGTACCTGTGAAGGAATCCCTGTAACCCGTATGATAATACTAGAAGCCCCCTGTACCTGTAGCTGAACCTGTAACCTGTATGATACTAGTCCCTGTACCTGTAGCTGAACTCTGTAACCTGTATGATACTAGTCCCCGTACCTGTAGCTGAACCTGTAACCTGTATGATACTAGCCTGCACCTGTAGCTGAACCTGTAACCTGTATGATACTAGTCCCTGTACCTGTAGCTGAACCTGTAACCCGTATGATACTAGTCCCTGTACCTGTAGCTGAACCTGTAACCCAGCGGATATCACTAGTCCCTGTACCTGTAGAAGGAACCTGTAACCTGTATGATACAGCCCCTGTACCTGTAGGCTGAAATCCCTGTAACCTGTATGATACTAGCCCCTGTACCTGTAGCTGAACCTGTAACCTGTATGCATATTTCAGTCCCTGTACCTGTGAAGAACCTGTAACCTGTAGCGATACTAGCCCCTGTACCTGTAGCCGAAATCCCAAACGTATGATACGGAATCCACCTGTAGCTGAACCTGTAACTCATGATACTAGCTCCTGTACCTGTAGCTGAACCTGCAAACTTGTATATGATACTAGCCCCTGTACCCCTGTAGCTGAACCTGTAACCTGTATGCGATACTAGTCCCGTACCTGTAGCTGAACTCCAACCTGTATGATACTAGCCCCCTGTACCTGTAGCTTAAACCTGCACCGCGCGCGATACTAGTCCCCTGTACCTGTAGCTGAACCTGTAACCTGTATGATACTAGCCAGTCCCTGTACCTGTAGCTGAACCTGTAACCTGTATATACCAGTCCCTAAAAATCTTTAGCTGAACCTGTAACCTGTAAGGATACTAGTCCCTGTACCTGTAGCTGAATCCTGTAACCTGTATGATACTGTAGTCCCTGTACCTGTAGCTGAACCTGTAACCTGTATGATACTAGTCCCTGTACCTGTAGCTGAACCTGTAACCTGTATGATACTAGCCCCTATACCTGTAGCTGAACCTGTGTAACCCAGCCATAACTCCATGTAATTATAGTTGAACCTGTAACCTGTAAAATTACACCACTGTACCTGTATTTGTAACATAACGTCTACCTGTATAAACTGTATTTGTATCATAATTCCGTACCTTTATAAGTTAAATTCTAATCACTGTTCAGCTACAGAAGTACAGAATACAAGGTTAGTTACAGGGAGGGAGGGAGGGAGGGAGGGAGGGGGAAGGGAGGCCTTCAGAGTAATTAAGGGGAATTTTTCATGTGGTTGACCAAGCCACATCAAAAGCATCAATCTGATCTTCTGGTGAACTTATTTAATGTCCCTTTAGATAGGAGGGGTGAAGGGAAGGTGAAAAGAGGGAAGAGGAGGGTGAGGGGAAGAGGAAGGAGGGTGAGGGAGAGAGGAAGGAGGGAACGTGGGGTGGTAAATAAAGCTCAGGTATATTAATTTCTGTGTATCAAAAAAAAAAATAAATAAAAAATAAAATAATTACCAAAAATATTCCAGTAAAAATTTAATAAAAGGAAAAAATGGCAAACAAAAAAATCGTAAAAAAATTGTTACAGAATTATGCCAAAAAATCGTTACAAATATCGTCATTCATATAAGGAGAGGTGTTGGTGAAAGGTAATTTGTGATATATTAAGGAAAATAATTAATGGATATGAAATTCTGCAAAATCATTTACAGTATATACACGAGAAAATTCCCCCTAAAAAAAGATGTCTGTCTGTCTGTCTGTCGGTCTACCTGTCTGTCTGTCGGTCTACCTGTCTGTCTGTCGGTATACCTATTCGTCTGTTTGTCTAACTGTCTGTTTGTCTGTCATGAACTAAACAAAACCCAGTTAGTGAGTCGAGGGTGACACCAGGGAAGGTGACACCAGGAGGGTGACACAGGCGAGGGTGACACCAGGAGGTGACACCAGGGAGGTGACACCAGGGGAGGGTGACACCAGGAGGGTGACACCAGGGAGGGTGACACCAGGAGGTGACACCAGGGAGGGGTGACACCAGGAGGGTGACACCAGGCGAGGGTGACACCAGGGAGGTGACACCAGGGAGGTGACACCAGGAGGGTGTGACACCAGGAGGGGTGACACAGGCGAGGGGGACACCAGGCGAGGGTGACACCAGGGGAGGGAGAGACCAGGGAGGGGTGACACCAGGAGGGTGACACCAGGGAGGGAGACCAGGGGAGGGGTGACACCAGGAGGGGGTGACACCAGGCGAGAGTACACCAGGCGAGGGTGACACCAGGAGGGTGACACCAGGGGAGGGTGACACCAGGGAAGGGGTGACACCAGGGGAGGGTGACACCAGGAGGGTGACACCAGGGAGGTGACACCAGGGGAGGGTGACACCAGGCGAGAGGACACCAGGGAGGGTGACACCAGGGAGGGTGACACCAGGAGGGTGACACCAGGGAGGGTGACACCAGGGGGGGGTGACACCAGGGAGGGGTGACACCAGGGGAGGGTGTGACACCAGGGGAGGGTGACACCAGGAGGGTGACACCAGGGGAGGGGTGACTCAGGGGAGGGTGACACAGGGAGGGGTGACACCAGGAGGTGGACACCAGGGGGAGTGAACAGGCGAGGGTGACACCAGGAGGGTGACACCAGGCGAGGGTGACACCAGGAGGGTGACACCAGGGAGGGGTGACACCAGGGAGGGTGACACCAGGCAGTGACACCAGGAGGGGACACCAGGGAGGGTGACACCAGGAGGGGTGACACCAGGAGGGTGACACCAGGGAGGGTGACACCAGGGGAGGGTGACACCAGGCGAGGGTGACACCAGGAGGGGTGACACCAGGCGAGGTGACACCAGGGAGAGACACCAGGGAGGGTGACACAGGGGAGGGTGACACCAGGAGGGTGACACCAGGGGAGGGTGACACCAGGGAAGGGTGGCACAGGGGAGGGTGACACCAGGCGAGGGTGACACCAGGAGGGTGACACCAGGGAGGGTGACACTAGGAGGGGGTGACACCAGGGAGGGGTGACACCAGGAGGGTGACACAGGGGAGGGTGACACCAGGCGAGGGGTGACACCAGGGAGGACACTAGAGGGTGACACCAGGGGAGGGTGACACCAGGGGAGGGTGACACCAGGGGAGGGGTGACACCAGGGGAGGGGTGACACCAGGAGGGTGACACAGGAGGGGTGACACCAGGCGAGGGTGACACCAGGCGAGTGGACACCAGGCGAGGGTGACACCAGGAGGGTGACACCAGGAGGTGACACCAGGGAGGGGTGACACCAGGCGAGGGTGACACCAGGGAGGGTGACACCAGGCGAGGGTGACACTCAGGCGAGGGTGACACCAGGCGAGGGTGACACCTAGGAGGGTGACACCAGGAGGGTGACACAGGCGAGGGTGACACCAGGCGAGGGTGACACAGGCGAGGGGGACACCAGGGTAGGGGTGACACTCAGGGGAGGGGTGACACCAGGCGAGGGTGACACAGGCGAGGCAGGCTCAGGCGAGGGTGACACCGGGAGGGTGTGACACACCAGGCGAGGGTGACACCAGGCGAGGCACCAGGCGAGGGTGACACTAGGGGAGGTGACACCAGGGGAGGGTGACACCAGGGGAGGGGTGACACCAGGGAAGGTGACACCAGGAGGGGTGACACCAGGCGAGGTGACCAGGAGGTGACACCAAGGGAGGGTGACACAGGGAGGGACACCAGGGAGGGGTGACACCAGGCGAGGGTGACACCAGGCGAGGTGACACCAGGCGAGGGTGACACCAGGGAGGGTGACACCAGGAGGGTGACACCAGGCGAGGGTGACACAGGCGAGGGTGACACCAGGCGAGGGTGACACTCAGGAGGGGTACACCAGGCGAGGGTGACACCAGGCGAGGGGACACCAGGCGAGGGTGACACCAGGAGGGTGACACCAGGAGGGGTGACACCAGGGGAGGGTGACACCAGGCGAGGGGTGATAACAGAGTGGCACACCAGGGAGGGTGACACCAGGGGAGGCAACAGGAAGGCAGGACAAGGGAGGACACCAGGCGAGGGTGACACCAGAGGGATACCAGGGGAGGGTGACACCAGGGGGGTGACACGGGAGGGTGACACCAGGAGGGTGACACCAGGGAGGGTATCACAGGAGGGTGACACCAGGGGGTGACACCAGGCGAGGTGACACCAGGAGGGTGACACCAGGGAGGGTGACACCAGGGAGGGTGACACCAGGCGAGGTGACACCAGGGAGGGGAGCACCAGGAGGTGACACCTGGGCGAGGGTGACACCAGGGAAGGTGACACCAGGAGGGTGACACCAGGCGAGGGGTGACACCAGGAGGGATACCAGGCGAGGGTGACACCAGGAGGGTGACACCAGGTGGAGGTGACACCAGGGAGGGTGACACCAGGGGAGGTGGTGACACCAGGTGAAGGTGACACCAGGCGAGGGTGACACCTAACATTCCCATTCCAGGATTTAGAATCGTGACTGAATCGGGGAATTTGCTCCCATTGTTGGATTGGTGGCGACGGAGGCCATTCTATTACTGGCCCCATGCTACCATTCCCCCACCCCCCACCCCCACCCCTGTCCACACCTCCCCCACCCCCCCACACCTCCCCCTCCCTCCCACCCCCCACCCCCACCTCCCCCCATACCCCTCACCCGCCCCATACCCCCCACCTCCCCCCCCACCTCCCCATACCTCACCCGCCCCATACACCCCCCCCACCTCCCCACCCCCACCCCCCACACCTCCCCCACCCCCACCCCCACCACACCCCCACCTCCCCATCACCTCCCACCCTCACACCCCTCCCCACCTCTACCTCCCCCATCCCCCACCTCCCCCACCTCCCCACCCTCACACCTCCCCACCCTCCCCACCCCCCACCTCCCTACCTCCCTCATACCTCCCCCATACCTCCCCAGCAATACGTACCAGAACGAAGCACACTGA